ACATTAATAGCGATAATTGTCTGAAATGGTGGCAAACGCTGTCCACCCGACTGCCCGATGAGACCCAACTCATCGACAAATGTCTTCATGTGGTTGCCGTCAACGCCAGGAATATATTGAAAGGCAAAGACATTATCAATGTATCGGCCGTTGAGTTGACGGCACTGCTCGAGAGGAATGATTTGGACGTCAAGGAAATGGATGTCTTCACGGCGTGCGTGCGTTGGGCGCAACAGCAGTGCATCCGACGTGGGCTGGTATACGATGACCACAGTCTGCGGCAAACACTGGGGCCCGCCTTCGATAAGATCCGCTTCCCAGTGATGTCTTCCGTCGACTTCGGATACATTGTCAACAAATACCACAATCTGTTGACCAAAGCAGAGATCTGTGCACTCCTTGCGTACATCAACTCCGGTATATTCCCGGAGATGCCGATCCCTTTCAACGCCAAACCCCGTATACGAGACACTAATGGCTACGTCCTGTCCGTTACGGCCAATCCATTCGTGCCAGTCTGCTATCAGTCATCCGTCCAACCCCTGGGCAGCCCTCATAGCGCCGGCTGTTGCTCGTCCACCGGCTGCTGTACGCCCACCGGACCGCCCACTCCGCCAGGTATTCATTGGTTTGCAAATCATTGGACTTACACTTTGTGTTCTCGCACCCCATAGACTACCCACACCTATCGCCGCGACCAGCGCTACTACCGGTGCCCATATCACCGCCGGCCGCCACCTCCTCCTACGCTCGCTCTGCAGTTCAGTCACTTCCCGACCACAGATTTGCACACTTCTTCACAACCGTTTGTTTTAATTATAGCCCAAACAATCCCAACCATTGCTCACCATTACGGACCCCAATACGGGTCAGAATGTGAGTATCGAGGAACTGGCGGCCGATCTCTCCAAACGCAATGGCTATCACTGGCCGTCAAATAGTGGACAATGCCATCAACCAATCAAATCAGTCAGTGTGAAGGGTTTATTACGAGTTATCCATAATTGAGTTTAAATTAATTTTGTGTTTTTTTTGTTTGTTTTTAATAGAAATTTTGTAATTTAAATGCGAACAATGAAATCAATTTGAATGGCTATCCGGCTATTCCTACCGATGAGGACACCAGTGGTGGTGCTGTCGCTTTGGGATACATTTCCGATGATAGTCTTCAATAGCTACTTATTATTATATATTTAAGTTTGTGATTTACAAAATCATTATACCTTATACTCTAGTTATTTGTTACAAACAAATTGTATTACCCGAAGTGTTTTGAAATTTATGTTACCCTGTTGATTATTGATTACCTATAGAATTATTATTATATTCAGAAATCTCTGTATAAAACTTAAATAATTTATTCGTTAAAATAAAACACAAACAAAAATAAACTATAAATACATTGGAAACACGACTACAATAAACATGAGGTTAAGGGGCGACACAACAAACAACAGTCACACACACGGCTTGACTACTGCTGATAGAGGCCGGTGCCCAACGACGTGGACAGGGTCTTCATGATGAGGTCCAGGAGCGCCAGAATGGCGGTGACCAGCGATTTGTCGCATTGCAACGAACCCAACATAATCTTCAACTTCTCGTTCTGCGTGTTTTCCAACAACTTCTTCACCACTTCGCAGATGAACTTCAAGAGGGTCTCCGACACGTAGATTATGCCCCAAATGATGTTTATGAGTACAGCGGACGGGCACTGGCCGGTCGAGTACTTGGTCTCCGTCTCGGCCGCCTCACTGCCCGACCTGTCCTCCAGTTCCTGCTTCCAGAGGTCGATCTTCTTCTCGAGATTATCCAGAATTTGGTAATTCTTGGCCACGACTGTCGTCAACAGTAGTCCTAATACGAGTAGTTTTAGACACATTTCTTGTGGTGTTTTTTGTTTTAATTGTTGTGTTTTGAAATGAACTTGCTAACTACTAACTACTATTGTTAACTGACTGACTATGGAACCTATTTTTAATAGATTATCGCCTTTTATACCTGTAATTAAAATCTATGGGAAATAGTGAACACATTTTATACGAGAATTTAGTTTACAAATGTGGTGTTACTTACCCTACGCTCAAAAACACCGCTAATTATAAGTTCATTAAACTATTGAAATACATTTTGCGCTCAAAATCTGAAATAACAAAACAATTTCATCAGTGATTCCTTTTATAGTTTACTTTTTAATAGTAAATACTTTTCCATAAAAAAATATATAATTTAACACTATTTGTATAACTATTTCACTGAAAACATTGAATTTTAGGAATTTTTTGTGGAATATTCTGTTGAACAATTAGTGAATAATTAGGTAATTGTCCTGGTTAACATGATTATTTGCTTAATTTACATAAAATTAACATGCTTCGTATGCTTCAAATATGACAATACTTTTAATACTTTCAAAAATTTTTATTTATCTATTGATTAATTCATTAAGAATTTCAATATCTATTTGTTTAGGAAATATTAGCAATTTATTATCAGATTACAAATAAAACAATTTGGCATACTTTACAAAATAAATATTATTTTTATTATTAAATTAAATTAATTGACGACATAATGACAACAAAATACAATACACTTAACGACAAAAGAAAAAAACATGAAAATCATGATCGAGACCACGACTACCAGATCTGAATCAACAAATTCAACAGAATGTTGACGACTCCGAGAATGCCGTTAGTCTTGAGCACATCCAGCACTTCCCTGAGCGGGTCGGTGGCGCTGATCATCGATAATAGCTGGTCGACCAGTTGGCACACGGCTTTCAATAGGCTGATGAGCACTCGGATCACGATCTCAATGAGATTGATGATGGGTTTACAGCTACAGGTGCCCCAACTCTTGACCTGTTGTGTGTTAGCCGTCTGGTTCTTCCAGGCCTCGATCTTCTCGTCTAAATTCTCCAACAGTTTCAGATCCTGTGCCACAATCAGGTGGACAGTCAGCCCCAGTAATAGGAATTTCAAATACATTTTTGCGTATATTTTGTATTTTTGTTACGAGTTTTAGAGAAAAAATTATGTTTCGATCTTTTATCATAATTTAAGATATGACAAAATCCAAAATATGGAGCCTAAAACACGTGTGTAAAAGTAAATACTGTAGTGACCATCATTACAAATTGTTTTTAATGGACCTGTAAACACTTGTCTAAAATACGCGAGTATAGCATACATTTGATCCGATTTTTGTTTGGTATCACCGATCAGTTCATTCAACTCCACGCTTACAATACACTTAAAAAGTCTAATTTAATTAAAAACTTTTTAAGAGTTATACAAATATTTTGTTATTTTCCTTAAAACTACTATCAGTTTCACATCTCAGATAGTCTATACCTCGTTGTTAATAATAGATTATTAAATACTTTTGTTAATTAAATAAACTTTTTTGTTTGTTTATGCGAAATCTAGATTTAATTAGAAAATTAAAGATTATTTTTGGAGATAATCTGAATATTAATACGTGTTTTAATTAATATGTTAATTGTGTCTCAGAAATCGGATAATTATTTTTGATTGATTTAAAAGACTTTTCGCATCGGAATTGTGTACTAAATATAACGTTAGCTCTATTGACACATATTTCTCACTTAATTCCCTATAATATCGTTAAATGAAATATACTTTTAATAACTTTTATTTTTCTACAAAACGCTGAACATTGAGTTCATTAAACTTGTAGTGATTTGTGAATTAAATGCTTTCATATAAAAAATAAAAACAAAACACTTTATATACTAAAGATGAAAGTCAAGGATTTGATTAATAATTTTATATTAATTATGATTTTTATTAATTATTAGGAAAATAAGACTTTTTTTTATAAAAGTATGTTTTGATGCCATATATCACGAGATTTACTGCATATCTAACTCAAGATCTTTGCAAATGTTTGCATAAGACTTATGTCAAACCTATTGAACTCATATTTTCAAATATTTTCAGATTATTTATGGGATTATAAACTAATTTTGAATATAAATAACTTTGTAAAACACTATAAAAGTATAGCTATCTTAAACACACCGCAAATGTTATTTAAGGTAATTTTATTAAATTAAATCTCAGATTTTAATTTTGATTAATGGTGACAAATCTAATAAAAAGCATTTATTAAATACATTTTGTGCATATTAATAACCTGTTTATAAAATATTTAAAACAAAATTAGTGCCAAAATTTTATGTAAAAAAGTGTAATTTATTACAGAATAATTGCTTTTGATTGTCAAATCATAACATTATTTTGCGTTAATTATATCACATCTATAATTTAGACTATGTTTCCCAGATATGTATACTACTCACTCCCCTCTACCCCTCCCCTCTATTTAGCAATAATTTATCCATTTTGTTTATTTTATTAAAAATATAAATTAGCAACAAATAATGAAAACTAAGATTTTATTTTATGTGAATATATAATCGATTGAATATTGAACTAAATTTAATTTTAGAAATCTGGATCTCCTTGCTCTCTCTCTCTCTCTCTCTCTCTCTCATTCTCACTGCTAATTAAAAATTGAAAAATTAATTTATTCATATGAAAAGCGATCATTAAAACAGTTTACATATTATTTTCCACGCATTCGTTCAGTGCATGCCTTTTATTAACTGAGAAATGAAACAAAAACTAATAAAACGCTTGAAATTGAATTCACAAATGAAAACCAATCAAACGAAATATCAAAACCAAAAGAATGATTGAAATGAATCTGAAAATAAATTTATATTATAATGAGTGGCAAATAAATAAAAGTAATGAAAGTTTCTGTATATTAATATCAATGCTGTATATAATTGTCTTTTGAATCACTATCTAATGATTTGAATCTTAAGCACACAATGCATTCAATTGTGTTATCGATATGTGGAGAGAGTTAGCGTTTTTCAGGTCATTGGTATTCAATACACCTTTCCGTTTGTATGCACTCACCTCAGGGGCTATTGTTATACACCATTAATACAGTTTATTAAAATAATTTTTAAATATATTATATTTTTTATGAAAATCCTTTTCAAGGATGACATTGAGAGCCAAGAATGTGTTAATTGAATCGCATTCACAGTATATTTATTATATTATATGAAATCGTTATTTAACTCAAAATATACCCCAATTTATACACCAGAAAAGGCTCTTAGAAATTGGTTTTTATTTATATTTTACATTTTATTTGGATTAGAGATTTTTATTTATTCATTTTAATTCATAGTAATTTTTAAAATTTATTTATTTTCATTATACACTTCAACTAATGCTTTCAATTGGCAGTCAATTATCTTATATATAAAAGTATTCATAATTTTTTGGTTTTCTTTTTATTTGTTATTTATTTATCCAAAACTTGAATATTATTTCTATAAATACATAATTTAATAACAAAAATAGATTGAAATCTGTTTAATACATTAATTTTGGCGTCAAAGGGGTTTGAGAGAGAGAGAGAGAGAGAGAGAGAGAGAGAGAGAGAGAGAGAATGCAATTTACATCAGTTTACATAAATATTTAGGCGTTCCTCCAGACCTCAAAATATTTGATATATTTTTCATAATTACATTTATTTTTTAGATTTTCAAGGGATTATAACTAAAGTGTCTTTTAAGAATGCAATTTACATCAGTTTACATAAATATTTAGGCGTTCCTCCAGACCTCAAAATATTTGATATATTTTTCATAATTACATTTATTTTTTAGATTTTCAAGGGATTATAACTAAAGTGTCTTTTCAGTAAAAGTATGAAATAAATTATAATATTAATAAGAGTGCATATTTACTTAACATACATAATTATATCATCTTTTATGTCATGATAAATTTATATTCAAAACACATGAATTGAATTGAATATTAAGTAATGGATAACTTATCCAGGATAAGTATTTAATCCCTAATTGCACTTATTTGTTTCTTTGGGGTTTCCATATTTTATATCAAAACTTCCTATTATTTATAATTAAAAATAGTGAACTAATCTTTAAATTATTGTATGTCCACAAATTTTACATATTGAATATTTTATTAAAAATTTTTATCCATGTTTTATAAGTCTTTGTTTCGTGATATGGCTTAAAAAGTATACTTGAAATATAAATTTTGAAAGTAAAATAGACTTAAATATTAATTTTATAATGTAATTTTACTCCTAAAATTTTAGCTAGAGTCTTAATTAGAAAAAATATTTGCACTTCAGTTTATAAACTCGATCATACATACCATAAATTATAGTTTTATTTTACTCGTTAATAATGTTAGTCTACACTT